ATTAACTACAAAGGCCATATGAAGGAAGATGCTATCTGCATCCAGAGAAAAAAATTGATAGATGTATAGAATGGTTTTACAGACACACACATATTTGTGTCTAATGGTAGCCATCTCTAGGGTGAGAGTGGGAGGAAAGGAAGAAAAAGGGGAAAAAGAGTTACATGATAACTTTATTATGTATTTAAAAGGAATAGCAAGTTGCACATAGTAGATTTTCAGTTTCATGTACAATCATATTTTTTTCTATTCTACAATGTTATGGAAATTCTTGCTTTATGTCTTAATTTCAGACCAAAATAAATACAATTTAAAAAAAAAAGGCAAAAAGTCTCTGCTGCCATGGAGCTCACAGTCTAAAAGGGGAGACAACATGAAAAGAACTATATAAAAACAAAATATGTACAGAATAAACATAGATTTTCCAAAAAGGGGGTGGGAACAGCCAATGCAAAGGCAGGGGAAGAGGAGAGTCTTGAGTGAACAATGGCAGGTGGGCCTTTGTAGTTGGATTGCCAGAGTAGGGCAGGGAGGGGAGGAGCATAACAGGTGAGAAGATTGGAAAGGAAGAAGGAGCCAGGTCAGATAGAGGCTTAAATGTCAATCCACTTATATTTTATCCTAGAGGCAATGGAAAGCCATTAGAGTTTAGTCAGGGGAGAAAGAGAGAGCACAGGGTAACATATCAGACTTGCTCTTTAGGAAAATCACTTTGGCAGCTGAGTGAAAAATACCTTGGATCGGGGCAAGACTTAAGGCAGGCAGACAAATTGGAAGGTCTAGGCAAGATAAGGGTGTACTAGTACCCTATACTAGGCGGGTGGCTATGCTGATGGAGAGAAGAAAACATAAATATATATATACATATACATGAAGGTAGAAACGGGAGATTGTATATGTAGGAGAATGAAAGTGAAGAGTCAAGACTGACCTCAAGTTTGGGATCCTGGATGACTGGGAAAAAGGTTGTGCCTTCCACCTTAATATGGAAATGGGGAAGATTAAGAAAGAAATATTTTAGATAAGTGCCGTTGAAAATGCTATAAACATAAAATTGAATTCTTCCATTTTTTGGCTTACAAGTTTAGTATTAGTACCATCTCTGTAGCATGCAGTGTGTTACAAGCTAGGATAGCTGCCAAAAGAAAGTTTTTCAATGTAGTGACATGTGAGACTACAGTTCCTCTTGCCATCATACAGTTTATACCCCAAATGTAGAGTAACCAGCTGGACATATGAAATACAGGGATTGATTTTCCCCGCTTATTTAAGAGGAGGCAAAAAAAGACTGTCCTACTATTTTCTTTGCCTTTGTACCAAGTCATCTGTTTTATACCTAGTTGAATGAGAAATGTTCTGACATGAACTAAAAGGGCAATTTTCAGAGAAATCTGGGAAGACGTGGATAACTCATGCAGAGTGAAGTGAGCAGAACTGTGAGGACAATTTGCACAATAATAGGATAAATACCAGCAACTGAAAGATGTACAGACTGTGATCCATGAAATGACCAGCCATGATCAGGACAGATGATGAAACATGCTCCCCGTTGCCTAACAGAGAGGTGAAGCACCTATGGTGGAGAGTGAGCCCTTTATCTTTTTGGACATGGTCAATATGGGAATTTGTTTTGCTTCACTCTACATATCAGTTGTAAGGATATTGCTTTTCTTTCTTTTTTTTTCAGAGTGGATGTAAGGAGGTAGGAGAGAAAGATCTTTGGTAATTGAAAAAATTAAATTACATATATGCACATGTATATACATGTGCACACCTAGGTATACATACATTTGTATATGTGTGCCCATATACACGTACATATACTTACACATACATAGATACAGACATACATATACTTACACATACATAGATACAGATATACATGTACTTACACTTAAACATGTATACATGTGCCATATACATATACATTATCCATCACTTGCAAGGCTACTCTGTCACTGTAGTAACTGAAAAAGGAAAAGTTTAGTGACACACTTTCCTCTTTCGAAGATAGGAAAACAGAACACCAAGGACTGCTTAATAATCTCTATTCCAGTGGCACCACCATGGCCCTTGTAGTTGCCAACCCTTCGCCTAAGAGGCTTCAGCCTCAGGAATTCTTGCTCCTCCCACATAAATTATTGTGCTGGGCAGATTTATCTCTGTTTTCTTTGTCAGTGATTTACTGCCCTTGACTTGTGTAATGGTGTGGGCTAATGCATACACTGCTCTGTTGCCCTATTGATCAGAAACACAGCAAAGCAAATAGTACTCCCATTGCTCCCTAACAGAACATCCTTTTTAGTTAACTATTTCTGTAAATGTAATTTCGGTTCTCCATTTCTGTTTGAAAACAAAATAAGTTCCTTTATCTTTTTGCTACATGTTAAGCATATTGGGCTGTAATTACAACAGTTCAATTGGGTTAAAACCAACTCAGTAGACAAAACTTCCACCACCAGATGACAGGAACCAGAAACAAGAAACATTCATATATGCTGATGCATCATTACCCAAACTTGCTCTTCCAATATATGTGAGATTAGTCTGCATGATTTCTAAGACCCTTTCTACACAAATCCTAGGCTCCTACACTCCTTCACTCTCCTAAATAATCTCATGATGTGATCATCTATATTCACTCACAAGCTTACTTGTGAAAGGTTTGAGAGGAAGCACAGGCTAGGGAATAAGGCGCTTGCCTGAGCTTCTGTAACCCCAAGTTCTATTGTTAAGTGTGGTCATTATTTTTTGGCACCTTCAAGCTGCATTTACCCTTTGTATCCTCTTTTTCCTTCCTCACAGTGTAGGTAATATGTGAGTAAAAACATGTAAGAATTTATTTATCAGATTTGAAAAGAATTTTTAATACCCTAGGGAAAAAACAGTGAAATGAAAAATTGTTAGAAATTAAATGATGCTCTCCACTCCTACCTGGTAGATAAGAAATCAGGGCTCCTACAACTAATTAAAATATATAATTAATTCAGTGGTAATAATTACCACAGAAACATAACTGATCCCAATGTAGATTCTTCAAAATGTAACAATGATCAGATGACATTATGAAAAAGAGAACTTTATTTTAGTCTTTACCCCAGCTTCTTCTATCAATAAAAATCTGCATTTTACATTCAATTAATACAGTTCATATCTAGGGTGGGTTCATTTTCTTTTGTTTTAAAAGCAATGCTTTTGTGTCTTCTTGTATATCTTCTTGAGCTTTCAGTTACTGCGCTAAGTAAATATGAAAGTATAATAACCCAGAATCATGTCAACGCAATAATCACAGCAGCTAATAAGTAAGTGGGGCATAAGTTAAGAAGAATTCCACAGGGTTTTAAAACTGACATTTTTGTTTCAGTGGACATTAATTTAAAAGACTAAGAGATATGTAATAAAATATGAAGAGAAGAGACTTTAGTGTTTTTCTGATATTATTGTTGGATTATCTTTTTGAAGCATAGTTTTTAAAGGCCATAACTCATCCAAATTCTCATATTCTCATTTTCAGTTTTAAAAAGCAAACTAATTTTGTCCTAATGGGCCTTTTGTTGCCCTGCATTGTTGCCTCCAAAATAAATAAATATACACACTTACACATAGTGTTGTGCATATGTGTGCATGTTACATAAGGTATGTATATATATATATGTATATTTCATAAAGAATTCATCATTCAATTTTACTTTCTAGGTTTTGGAGTTATTTAATTTTTATTGATTTATGTATGAGTTTATAGCAATAGGTAGCATTTAATATAGTGCTTGAAAGTTTGAGAAGCACTTTACATGTTATCCCATTGAGTCTCTCAATAGATTTGTGAGGCATGAGTTATTATGCACATTTTAGAGATGAGAAAACTGAATCTGAGAAAGGTGTAATACTTGCCTAGGTTTACATGGTATCTGAGGCAGGATTCAAACTCAGGTCTCCCTAACTACCAGTGCAGTGCTCTGTACATTGTGTCACCTAGCTGCCTGTTTATTCAAATTATACTGATCAAAACAACAACAAAGAAGATGTGGCTGATTAGAAATTACAAAGGTAATGATCATTTTTGGTAAGCTATATGTACAAAAACTCATGATGATGTGAGCTAAAAAAAAAAAAAGTAAGGATTAGACCACTCTCAATGAAAACACCTATTCTAGATGCATCATGTTTTCCATCCATTTGCTTGCGAATATTTTCATTTACTTCAAGAAAGGACAAAATAAGAAATTTCCTAATAAAAACAGAACTCTCTTAACCTTTTTCTCCATAATATTTGTTGATAAATATTAAGAACTGTGTTTTCTTTGTAGAAGACTTTTAGCCGCAAAGAAGAAAGTATAGTATTTGTGATATAGCGTTACTAGTCATTAAAAACGTGATGTCGAAAACTGTGTGTTCCAGTCCTTACCTGTATTGTTTAACCCATTGCTACTCTCTAGCCTGGGTTCACTCATTTGTAAAATTAGGGGGAAGGGCATGAACTATGAACTCTAAAGTCCCATCTACTTCTATTATTTACTATGGATATTTAAAACTTAAGTGGTAGCCCCTGAACAATAAACATATATGGAATATAAATAATGAGTTTACAATTTAAATCACTGCCTTGTGAATAGCTCAAACTTTTGTGAGTTGATTTTTGAAATTTTCTACATTTTGGGAGAATATATGGAAATTTTTTTATTAGCATATCCCTTTCTACGCATATGCCTGAATCCATAGTAGGGTAACTGGAAAGTGATACACATTTTTTTAAGAAACTCTTGATTTTGCTTAATCTTTTCAAACTGGAGGATTTGCCGAAATTTTTGTGGGGCATCTAAATTAGGCCATTGTGGGGAAAGGGTTGTATGACAGGAAAATACCGCTTGCTGGGAAGATGTTGCTCAAGTGTTTAAAATGGCTCAGCCAACAAGATTAAATATTAACTGCAGACTCTAACTAGTTCTAAAATCAAGCCTACCAAACTGCCTAGTGTATATATAAGACTGAAGATCTCACTCTCACATCCATTAGCAAACGATGGTTACTTGGGCATTCTCAAAATCTTCTGCCATGAAACGTCTTTTGTTGCTCCTGCTCTGCATTTCCGTAGTTAAATCCAGTTCTGACTATGATGAAGAGGTGGTTATTACAAAAATGTTCATGATAATTACATTAATAGAGTTAATATAAGTTCTGATATCTGTACATAATGTTATGTAATTGTATATGCATGCTTATTTTTATGAGAACTAAATTAATTCATGATAGTAAATTTTATAAATGAAATTGAAATAATTTCAGGAACAGTTTTATTTTAAGAGTTTTCATGGAAAATGTGATTAATTCATTTCTTTATGTAAAAGAAAGGTATTTTTCTACCTTTTTTATGACTTTTCATATCTCTTTTCTTTAGGGAGAAGACAGTTCACATAAGGTAAGATATGCTTTTGTCGTTTACTTGTTCTACTGTATGTTTAGACTTTAGTGTATTAATATTGACAGATAAGAAAAAATTATGAAAATGGTACAGAGTAGAAACCAGAAAACTTGAGTATAAGAAGCAGCCAAATGTGAGCAATGGTTGTATAAAACTTACCTGTCAATGAAGAAAAGCAGTATATAGTAAGTGAAAGGAAGGGGTAGTTGTAATAATGAGTGGTGATTTAAGAAAATAGAATGTCATATTAGAAAATGAATGCTGTAATTTTTATTGTTTCCCTGTAAATATAAAGAATATTATAAAGCAAATAGCTTAATCTAATTCATCTCTTTATAAAAGTATCTTTCATTTAAGTATTATATTTTAAGTCATTTTGTTGATAAAAATTCAGGAATAGATTAGAGGGAATAAAGCTGAAATAACATTTTTGACACAACCTCTTGAGGTAAATACGAAAGCCAGTTTTATGATCCTTATTTCATAGATGAGGTTAATTGGTAGTAGAGAGGGAAAAGAGACCCCTTTCAGATTCTTTAATGAGTTAGCATTAGGAACTGGAAGACAGCCCAATTTTTCTGTGTCATTCTACAAAAAAAGCACTTTTTCTAGTTAATTTGATTCATAGAGGCAGCTGATCTGAAGGTCAGGCTTCAAGGTGAATTTTTTTTTACTTGAATTATTTAGATAGTTATATTCATTGATTAAATTAATTGATGCTACAGTTGTGAAATCTATACTTTATTTTGTACTTTGCCACTGCTGCCTCAATCTCATTAGCCCATATTAAAGCTACTTTAACTTCAATAAAAGCATAAAATTATTATTATTCAAAGTCTGTCTACTGTAAACTGATAAGATAAATCTCACCACTTTCCTATGAACAGGGCAATACGATTTCTATAAGATTGTTAAGTTCTTTGACAGCAGAGACTATGTCCTATTTTTTTCCCAGGCAATGCCTACTATACTTTGTTCTATAAATCAAGTGCTTAAAAATACATGTAGAATAAATACATGAATGACATTACAGAACTGGTTATTCAGTGGCTTCTGTGGTCAATATACAATAAGTTCAATCGATGCACCTGATAAAGCTTGATGAAGCTTTTGTGGGATGATGTAACTAACAAGAGAGATGAGATTGATCTAACATTTTGAGACTCTTTCTTCTATTTTCCTTCTTTCTTGTACTGTGAGAAGCAATTCCCTTCTAAAGTTAGCAGATACTTTCAAGTGCAGCATAAATTCAGAGTTGCTTTAAACAAGAAAAAAATCGTAGTCTGTCATCCAAAGAAAGTAACTAAGAAGCAGCAGATCAGGGCTGCCATAGGAATGGCTTAGAGAAAACATTTTGGTGGTAGACTAAAAGACTCAAGAAATCATTTACTGAGAATTATAGGATCTACTGTTAGCAACATTGAGCGAGCCATTTCTCTTCAAATCTTCAGTTATTACGTATTAGGGCATCCATATGTTAATAAGTTTTCCCCTTAATAAATAGATTACTTTCTTGATAAAGTTGATATATACAGAACTTAGACAACCTTAGTGTTAAACATATTACACATGTCTGAGCGTGTAACAATCAAGTATGGGAACTTAGTAAATAAAATGGGCTAAATGACATTAATTCTTGTTGACAGAATAGGTTCCTCACCACTCTCTAGTGGATTTCTGGTGGCTTAGATTTAAAGAATTGGTCTCATTGCCTTACAGTCAATCTAGGTACAAGGTGTTCCTAGAAATATTTTCTATGTACAGATGTAGTGACTGTTCATAGAGACTTCTGAGGTTCGGGGCTCTGTTTGCCTAGTTCCTTTGTCCAGGAGTTACCTCATCTTCAATAACTAAATGCCCAGCTGGTCTGTGTCAGCTTGAGCTGATCTTTTAATTATTCTAGGCCTGCTTCCTTAATTTCAAGAGAAGGAAATTCAATTCAACAGACATTTATTAAGCACCTACTAAGTATAAGGGGCTATGCTGGACATACAAAAAATAATACAGACCTTAATGGGAGGGAGACCCTTGTACACAAGTTAACTATGGTATAAAGTTAAGTTCTATCTGTGCAAAGGATAAATCCAGATAAAGTCCTCTAAGAAATTTGAAGAGAGGGAGATCACTTTCACCTAGAATTGTTAGTAAAGTGTATATATGTATGTATGTGTATATATGTATATGTGTATATATCAAATAAATAAATACATAAATGAATAAATATATCCATGCTTAATTATAGCCTCAGACTGAGGAGTAGGGGGGAGGAAGGGAAGGGAAAAGAACAAAGTAAAAAGTGTACAGCAGAGAACAAAAGAAAACCTACAAGGAAGCAAAGAAAAGATGGACAGCTTTTAACATAATGTGCCGTATTTAATATATAGGCTTTTTTGAAATGAAAAGTTATTGCTATATATTCTGAATCCTCTCCTATGTTCTGCTATATACATGACATGTTTTTTTTCTTTTTTTCTTTTATATTTAAGTTTATAATGTTTCTTTTTCTTTCCTTATTATGTATTTAAGTTTTAGTATTTGTCTCAAATTTAAAAAATTAAAAAAGAAAAATTGTTAGTAAGGGCTTCTTGGAGGAGAAGAGCATCTGAGTCATCCAAGGAGGAGGGAAGGAAGGAAGGAAAAAACAAGCTTCAAGAAAAAGTGATAGCTGGTTTAGGAGTCAGGAGAGAAAGGAAGTCTTATTTCATCTTTTTTTTTTAATTAACAACACTTTCTTTTCTCTCCCTCAAAGGGAATCTTTTTCCAGGCCTGGGGTATGGAATGAGCAAAGGCATAAAATATGAGCAAAGGCCCGGAGAGTAAAATGAGAGTTCAAGATAAAGAATTGCATTTTGGGTGGAATTCAAAATACAGGATAGGAAATCATATGAGATAAGATTCAGGAGATAGGTTGGAACCAAATCATGGAAGGCCTTAAATGTCACATCAGAACTGTACATTTTAGACAGTACACAATTAGAGTCACTGAAGGTTTTGGAGTATCATGCCATGATCAGAATAATGCTTTGGGAAGATTACTTAGTTGGTGGTGTGAGAGGATGGTTGGAACCATGAAAACTATGTGGGAGGTTATTACAGTAATCTCAAGGAGAAGAGATCAGGGCCTGAAACAAGGGTTTGTTCCAGAGGAACAGAAGCTGCTAGCAATATTGCAAAAGTAGAGTAATCAACGGTTGGCAACTGATTGAATGTATGCAATAAGAGAAAGGGAAGAGTCAAACATAAATCAGAATATGAATCTCTGTAACTGAAAGGAGAGTAGTGCTTTGAACAGGAATAGAAAAGTTAAAGGGAAGCACAAATTTGGGAGAAAAGATGAGTTCAACTTTGGACACGTTGAATTTGTGGACCTGGTGGGACATCCAAGTGAAGTTATCCAACACATAGTTGTAAACATAAGACTGAAACTGCAAAATGTTTGGTGGAGTTGGAAAAAATAGATTTTTTTTTAAGTAATGACTATAGAGGTGATGTTTGAAGTAATAGGAATGGGTGAATTCAACAGAGAAAAGGGCCAAGAACAGAACCTTGGGAATCACTCATATTTAAGGGGCAAGAAGAAATTGAAGAGTCAGCAAAAAGAGACAGAGAAAGAGCGATGAAAGAGGTAGGAGGACAAACCGTGAGAGCAGTGTCACAGAATCCAGTGGAAAAGAGGAAGGAGTGGTTGTTAATGTCCAATGGGACAAAGAAGTTGAAGAGGAAGAGGATGGAATGAAGGTCATTGGATTTAGCATTAAGGAAGTCGGTAGTGACTTTGAAAAGAACTGTTTCAGGACAGTGGTGGGGACAGAAGCCAAGCTGCAATGGATTGAATAACAATTGGTTTGAGAGTAAGAAGAAGCAGTGCAGACTGCTGTTTCTCACAAACTGGATAATGAAGAGATGAGGGGAGAGAGAGAGAGAGACAAGGACTCAGACAGAGAGACATAGAATGTTAGTTTACAAGAGTGGCAGAGTTAAGGGGAGAGTTGTTTTTTTTTTTAAAGGACTAATTAGACTTGACTAGTTCTTCACCTGTCTTCTATGAACTTTTAAAAATATGTATTTTGAAAACTGTATTTCAGCATAATTGATTCCCTTTCCTAATCTTATGTATTTTACCTTGTGCAATTAAAACATTATTCTGAGAAGGGGTCCATACATTTCACTAGAGTGTCAAAAGGGGTCCCTGACAGAGACAGAAAGTTAAAAACTACTAAACTAGATGATCTTCAAGGGTCCCTTCCAGCTTTAAAATGTGATGACTCTACAATTATGGATCTTCTTCTTACTTTGTTTCATGAAGACTCTGGATGTGCGGACTTACCGGCCAGTAGATAGGAGAAAGGAAGAAATTCCAACTCTGAGACCAGCTCCACCTCCCATCAGCGGGGGAGGATACCGAGCACGTCCACCCCAGCCTCAGTCTATTCAACAGAAGAAATTGGAAAGAAAAGCCCCTGATGCTGGAGGCTGCATCCATGCTGATACTGATATGGTAAGTGAATTATAATCATTGGCAAAATTGGTCATGGCCAGTGAAGAGAATCAGTGCTGGGAAAGGGGCTCAGTGCTACTGAAATGTATTAATGTCCCTCATTACATTAAGGATTTTGCTTCATTTTCTTTGGTTTTACTATCAAATGCTAGACATGTTCTTGCTTCTGGTTTAGGGTTGCATTTTTATAGGAATCACGCTTTCGTGATACAACACAGCAGGAACCCAGAAATTCAGCCCTAAAGATTTCCTGGTTTTGCCACATTTGAGCAAAATACTGAGTTGACTGTTTGATAGGAAGGGGAGAATTAGTAAGAAGAGGAGGAGAGAATTTCAGTAAAACTGTTTTTTGGAATTCATAGAAAACAGCAGAAGGAAGGCAGTTTCATTGCCACCAGGTTACGTTTCATAGGTACTGAAGAACACTATACATTATATAAGTTCACAGTTTCATATACAGTCCTCTCTTGTTCTTCGTATATTGAAATGTTCATTTGTTCAATTCATAATAAAAAGAAAAATAATTAAATAGTGAGTTGCAGATAATCTATGGTTTCTTCCCCTGCTGTGGTGTATTAAAAGGTCTTTACTCTCTTAACTTGGTGTTTAATACCTGTGAGCATTTATTGTCATAGCTTGATATGATATGAAAATAGCTTTGTTCTTGATTTTAGAGATAGGTTGGCCATCGGAGAATCAGCTGAAGGAGCTGAACTAGAGATGGAGAGCCTGGAGAAGAGAAACCCCAAGGGGTCACGGTTGTCATCTTCACATACTTAAGAGCAATCGCATGGTAGAGGAATTGGCCCTGGAGGAAAGACCTCCAAGCAGTAGATGGAAGCCAAAGAGATGGAGTTAGGTTTAAAGTGACAAAACGTCTACCCATTGGAGTTCTCCAAGATTAGAATAAGCTTTCTTCCTTGGGAGGTAGGAGGTGCTCACTCTCTCTCTCTCGAGGTCTTCAAGAGAGGATTGGGCGACCACTTCTTGTAGACACAGCAGAGGGGATTCCCGTATTTCTGTAGCTACTATTTGGACTAGATGACTCCCGGCTCCTCCTTTACTACCCTGAGACTCTGTGATCCTCCCGAGAGGGGTCAGAGTCCTTGTTAGTATTGAGGTGAAGCATTCCAATGTGTTCATTTTATACTGTCTTTAAATAAAATATTTTAAAGAGTCAAACTCATTTAAGCCAGTGTCACCTGACGGTACCATATGTGAAAGCAGCCAGGTAAATGTGGGGACCGAGGCCCCTTTCTCTCCATGCTGTCATCCAACAATTATAGCAATCCCTTAGTAAACAATAGATAGAAAATGTACATCTCTACTATTCATATTTAGGAAAACTTACAATAAGCAAACTCTAAAGATTTCTTTTTTATTTAAGATTAACTTCCTGACCTACAAATACATAAGATAAAAAAACTGTCACTTCCTGAGAGAGTGCCTAAAATTGGCTTTGATGATAAGACTTTTTATTTCTGGTGTTTCCAAACAATACACTCCTTTGGAGACAAACAAAAATGGTCTACAGTGGCAGTAATATTTTCACATTTCATCTATGTAAGGCCAATATTGTGTTTTGTTTGATCTTTTTATTTTTTAACTAAACATTAAATTAACAACCACCATGCTAAAAAGATTAAAACTGAGCTTTCATTCTGTGCTGTTTTGATTAAAAAAGACCTGTCTCAAACACTTCTTCTAAATGCGTGTTCTACAACCTTTCCTTTTCTTTGCTTTTAGGGAGTGTTGTGTCCAACAGGATGTATGCTGCAAGATACATTAGTGAAACAGGAAAGAACTGTGAAAACCAGCGTTAAAGACCTAGGGGCTGAAGTGGACTCCTTTTCTCAGAGTACTTCCACCAACTTCCAGTACCTGGGCATCCTAAGGGACATGTGGGGTAAAAGACAGAAGCAAGTAATAGGTAGCTATCATTTCTCTTCCATCTCATACTAAAAAATGAATGTTGGGGGACAGTTGTGGTTGGGCATATTTATAAGTGAGAGGATTTGGAGGCAAATCCTGATTCTACTTCTCTGTGACTTTGAGCATATCATGTAATTTCTCTGGGCCTCAGTTTCCTCATATGCAAAATCAGGGAACTAGATTAGATGATCATTAAGGTATGTATAAAAAAGTCCCTCACTTATAAAAGTGAATGTTGAAAACTAAAAATAAATAAATAAATATTAAAAATAAATAAATAAAACAAAACAGAAAAAAAGTTTCCTTCTCACACTTAAAAAAAAAAAAAAGCCCTCAGAAAATGGGAACAGCTTCTGCTAAACCTGTTGGTGCTATCCCTAAGGTTTTCTTTTTTCTTTCTTGCTACTACTAGGTTCCCTCAAAATCCTGAGGGAAGTCATCCCCTAGGCCTCCCAAGCTAGATATTAGCAAAACCCCCTTCCTTTAATTCAACTGAGATAAGATCATACTTTAAAGGCTTTACTCAGTAATGAAGGAAAAAAATAAAAATACTATACATTGCAAGATTTTGATATAGGAGGGAAAAAACCCTCCTTTATTTTAATCTTCTCTGATTTTGTCTGTATGTTCCTGTAATCTCTGAACCATTTTTATCTATATCCTGGCCACAGCCTGGCATATACCCTCTGTATAGACAAGCCTTGTTCTTCTCTTAAGTCAATGAAATTCTGATCCTTCACATATAATGTCTCCATCTGCCTAGACCCAGACTAGTTTATTGGGCATTAATGACTGAGACATTATAAAGCCGTAGAGCTCACCTTTCAGGTGACTCCTAGGATTATAGGCAGAGAGCTGGAAAGGACCTTAAAGGTCATCTAATCCAATCCTCCTATTTTACAGATGAGAAAACTGAAACCTGCAGAGGGTAAGAGAGTGATTTGCCCAAGGTCATATAGCTAATAATTGGCAGAGCCATGACTCAGACTTAGGCTCAGTAACTCCAAGTCCAGGCTTCTCTCCTTGTACCACAATGCATCTCTACCTAACCCTAAGAACCAACTGTCCTGAAGCCAGTGTGCCCTCTGATTCCTCCCACTCTGTTTCAGTTTCTAGTGGTCAGTAGTTCTTGGTCATTTTGCGGAACTGGACAAGTTTACATCTGCTGTGTCCAGTTAATATTATCTTATATCCTTCTTAGATCTATCCACTTAAGTTCTCAGGTAATTTTTTAAGTTGGCCCCCATCTAAAATTTTAGCTCATAGTTTGTTTATATACTATCATAATAATTTAAAGTTTAGTAACAATAACAGGTAATTTTTCCAACAGCAAGAAAAATTTCATTTCATCAGTGCTCTGATTGTTCAGGGGTCCTAAGCTACCAGCGTCATCCCACAATTTGTGATAAATCTGTCTTTCATGTAATTCTTATACCCAATTGGAGGCCAGCATTAGTATTTTCTCTGAAGAATTTGTCTCTGATTCCCTCCTACTTTTATTCCCCGATCATTATAACTCAGAAGACAATACATGTATCTTCTTAGAAGGGGAAATGTAAGGGGCAGCTATGTGGTGCAGTGGATAGAGCTCCAGCTTTGGAGTCAGGAGAACCTGAGTTCAAATGTGGCTTCAGACACATAACATTTACTAGCTGTGTGACCCTGGGCAAATCACTTAACCCCGATTGCCCATCAAAAGGAAGGGGAAACATATCAAATTTTTCAGACTTTAGAAGGTTGAAAATCAAAGGTAAGGGGCAGCTAGGTGGCACAGTGGATAGACCACCAGCCCTGGAATCAGGAGGACCAGACACTTGACACTTACTAGCTGTGTGACCCTAGGTAAGTCACTTAACACTGATTGCCTCAAAGGAAAAAAAAAAAAGAAAATCAAAGGTAGAAGATACAGATTCTGCATTTTCTGCAGTTCCCAACAAAAGACAAACGTTCAGTTAATTCTAATGGATTATAATTTTTATTCAGACTTAGTACTAATAACTCTGTTATAATAGCTCATTGTTACATGGATTTATACAATACCACTTCTCTCCCTCCCATCGATTCAACATTAGAATTATGTATATTCAAAGACTGGTTAACAGGTTAAGTTTATGGGCAGATTTTAGTCGTATATCTTATACCCATCTTTTACAAGATTTCAACGTATTCAGTGTTTAGCAGTGTCTGGCACATAGTCAATGCTTAATACGTGCTTGTGAACTTGTATTTAAAATAAAGGGAAAACAATGACTTTTCTATTTTCCTTTTTTTACAGACAATGAAAATGCAGTAAATGGGTTTTCTTCTGAACTAGAAAAGCATCAAATTTATATCCAGGAGACTGTGAACACTCATATCCCGAATAACCTTCGAGTGCTTCGTTCAATCCTAGAAAACCTAAGAAGCAAAATACAGAAATTAGAAAGTGATGTTTCTGCCCAAATGGACTACTGCCGCAAACCATGCACTGTCAGTTGTAATATCCCAGTGGTTTCAGGCAAAGGTATATTAATAAGCATGGGACCTTGGGACTTGGGTAAAAGCTTACATTCCCTTACAGCTACAAAGCTAAGAAAGGAGCTTAGGAAATCCCACTTTTTATCGGCTATTTTCATATCAGCTCTTTAGCACATGATGATGTCCAGGGTTATGTTAGAGGCCCATCTGAAGTTTTCTCATCACTAGCTACCCATTTTCTGATGGGAAAGGGGGTATGTGAGAGGCAGGTTGTGTAGGAAGGTAGCGGCAATAATGTGAAATAGAGGAGAAAGTTTGTAAGAAGTGGTGGGGGGGGCTGCAGAAGGATTTTGAGAATGAACAAATGAGTTATGCTTAGATTCAGAGAGATATGAAGTCTCTCTGTTTTGTTATGTTACTGTATATTGGTGACCAACTTATAGGTAAGTTATAGACTGAAAAAGATTAAAAAGCTTTGATTTTCAAATGCCTATTCAAAGTATGAGTTTAGTTAGTTATTGCATATAGTCACACAGATATATGTACATGTATACATTTATGTATAAATATATGTGTATACGTACGTGTGTGTATTTGAGACTGAGTTTCCCCATTTCACCCAGGTTGGAAGTACAGCAGCCAATCGTGGGCTCATTCTCAATACCAGTCAGCTTGGGAGCTTTAATTTGCCCCGTATTTCTAACCTAGGCTAGTTTGTCCTCACAAAGCCTGGTGACCCTCCTTTCCTGGGGACATACCATATTGGTGTCAGACTTCGTGAAGACACCGGATTGGTTTTAGTCCTATTATAGCTCAGAACTCCCAAACTCAAGTAATCACCTAGCCTCAGCTCCCCCTTAGTAATGATTACAACCATGTGACAGCAGGCCTAGCTTATATATTTCTCTTAAATATAGACAGTGGAAGTTTCTTAATTATAATCAAGTTTATCTTATTACATTATTACAGTATCGAAAACTATGGACACACTGTTGATTTGTTGCAATGAGCCACTTGCAAATATCCAATTTTTAATAGTGACCACTTGTTCTTCTAGATATATCATCAATGAACAAAAATAATTGTAGCATTATAGATTCAGAGGTAAAAGATACCTTAGAGGCCACCTAATCAGCTTCCTTTGTTTTATAAAAGAGGAAACTCAGGCTCAGGAAGGTTAAATGAGTTACCCAAGGAAATTTATTTTTCTTTTTTATATGTTTATTGATAATGATTTTAAATTAAGCTACTGTGAAATCAAACCAATAGCTTTCTTTCTTAATTTTTCAGATTGTATATAATAATCTCTAGGCAAGGCATAAGAAAGTTATACATTTTCTTAAGACGGTAAAATTCCTCGCATAACCTGTGTCATTATATGTTTGCAGAGTGTGAAGAAATTATTAGGAAAGGAGGTGATACATCTGAAATGTATCTCATTCAGCCCGACAATTCTGTCAAACCATATAGAGTTTATTGTGATATGAAGACAGAAAATGGAGGTAAGTACATGGTTCTGTGAAATTCTTTTGAAGTAATCATGGAGTAAAATGTGTTTACGTCAATAATGTGATGTTAACGTTTATGAGACGGGTTTAAGAATTGAAGAATTTTAAGCACTTTTCAAGTTGTTGATATATTAAATAATTATTCTGTTACAAACTATCCAATTTCAAAGTAACATTAAGTACAACTTTGGTATGATAGTATGATCAGTGGGATAGGGTGGGATAGGATTAACTTTTGCCAAAGACTATAAAACTTGTCTTTCTTTAAACATTACTCTAAGACTGACTTTTAATATTTACTAGCATTATTATGCCCAAAGGATCTGAAATTCCTTCAAAGTGGTTTTAATCACACAGAATGACATTTAGCCATACAGCTCATCTACCTGTGACTAAATAGATAAATCCGAGGGAGCCTTAAAAATTATGTAATTTGCTTGGGTTACAAGGCTAGTAAGGGTCAGAGATAGAATTTGAATTCAGAATTTCTTAACTCCAAGCCCAGGAATCTGTCTACTACTCCATGTTGTCTCAACTATTAGTATGTCAGAAATAATCTGAGTCCTACGTAATTATGTCCTTATGTCTATCCTTTTATCCCAAAATTTTATGATCTACTATTTTGAATCTATTTATAAAGAAATCATTAAAATATTTCAGTGTTGTTTAAAAGATGATTTTCTTATGAAGAGGAAGACTTTTGCCAAAACTTCAGGTTTGGTTTAATACTTTGGTTTGGTTTACACCAGTCTCCCCAAAGATGTAAAATGCCCTTGACTTTTTTGTGCCCTTGGATACAGTTATATACCCATTGTGTTACAAGGATTGAAGCTTGGTTTTTAATGGTATATTTTGTTTTGTTTTAAGTATTAACTTTTAAATTATTTTCAGTGATTTTTGAAGACCTACTCTTGGTAGACTTTAGGTATCAATAATAAAAGGATACATACTGTGAAGAAAATTATTTTAATGGTTAATGAAAACAATCTTGGTTTCTCTCCCATTACAAGGATGGACAGTAATCCAGAAACGTCAGGATGGTAGTGTTGACTTTGGCAGAAAATGGGATGCATACAGAAACGGATTTGGAAATGTTGCAACCAATGAAGGTGCAAAGAAATACTGTAGTTTACCAGGTAAAATCATTGTCAAAAATCAAAGAACTTTTTTTTAAAAGTTTCTCTTTTTCATTTTAAAGAACATATGTGCTTATCAACATTTTACTACTTATCAATGCACCATCAAATATTATTTAAATGTCATTGTCTCTATACCATTATAATGGCCTTTCAGAAAGCAACCAATTATCAGGCATTTACTATGAGTTTGTTAGTGTTGGAGAAAATTAAATTGTCAGGGAAATTACAATCATCTGGGGCAGGAATATTGATAGTTTTCAAATATTTTAATTTTCCTATGGTTTTGTGTTATTTTAACTTTTAGGTGAATATTGGCTTGGAAATGATAAAATTAGCCAGCTTACCAAAATAGGACCCACTGAACTTTTGATTGAAATGGAAGATTGGAAAGGTGATAAGGTGAAGGCTCATTATGGAGGATTCACAGTACAGGATAAAGGCAACAATTACCAGATCTCTGTTAGTAAATATAAAGGAACTGCCGGCAATGCCCTTATGGAAGGCGCATCCCAGCTGGTGGGAGAGAACAGGACCATGACGATTCACAACGGCATGTTCTTCAGCACATATGACAGAGATAATGATGGGTGGTATGTCTACATTCATTCCTCCTTTGAAATATAGCACCTAACCATGTCACTCTGAATCATTAACAGTGAACACATGCGTTCTGGCTACAGATGGTCTCTCATCTCTAACACTTTAAGAAGGTATCCCCTTAGTGATCAAATGTTTAGAACAATTCCAGTATCTCTGATAGTCCAATACAGGCTTTCAATCTATCGTTCAGTTTTTCAATCACCTCAGTAGTTCTATAATGACCTGCAATTTATTGTTCCTTTAAAAAACGATGAGGTTGCTACTCTCTTACTGAACTTATTAGCTTCATAAGTGCAATTCTTTCACCATCTTATTACAGAATAAAAAAGACCTCGGGTTTCTCATTGTAGAAACTGGAGAAAAGAAAAAGTCCTACACAGGCCTAAACAGAGCAACCCCTCTGGGGCATTACTCTGCCCATAAATTGCTCTGCGCCCTGAAAGCAGGCACAGCTGGGGAGTAGAAGAGCAGAACTAAGTATCTACCACGTAGAGACGATGATTCTGCAGGTTTCATGGGCAGCTTCTTTCTCTGGGCTGCTGGTGAGGAAGCCAGCTGGGATGAAAAAGGGAGAATCAAAAGCAGAATCTTGCTCATCATTACCATACTCTTTATGGAGTATTTTAGCATCAGCTTAAGGGAAGCTATCTGAAGTTGCCAGCAGAGCCATAACTTGGGTGGAATGAATGGGGCTTTACCACAGAGCATGGAAATTTCTAGGGGACAGACAGCATTCGCAAATCTTAAACATAATTAATCTTAGCACATAGCAAGAATAATTAATTAAAATAGGAAGTTAGTTTCTTCCTGCCTGGCCTGGCTCTATTGCTTTTCCAACAGTGGCCTCACAGTGTCTTTGGTCTTTTACCCAGAGGACTTCATGTGCCAGCTTCTTCCCCCGCTAAATTTGTCTTAAAAAGTTGGTTTTGGGGTACACTTTGTACTGCTTACTCCTGCTATGTTTTATGAAGTTTGCTTCCTTGAGGGGCCAACTTTATGCTCCTTATGGCTTTAGCTGGTGTACATCTTGTTCCCTCTCTCCCAGGAGAAATAAACAATATGTTCCCAGAAGTCACCCAACCTGGAGTGCTCATCGTTAAGATTCCAGAGCATCACTTTACCACAGTCTAGAGGCCTAAAAAAGAATTTGCAGAACAATACTTAAAAATCAGATGCTTCTTTGTCATTACTAAAAAATAGGGAAAGAAAGGGAGAAAGTCCTGGAATTAATGCTTCTTGAAATGAAAATAATTTTACATCTAGATTTTCTGACACATCAACAGTTTCCTTCAGACTTAACAAATGAACACAGAATTCTCCTTCTTCTATGTGATTTCTATGTAATGTGTGCCATTGATAACATTCATGTATTGTGATTAACTACTAATATTTCTCTTTTCAGGGTAACTACAGATTCAAGTAAACAGTGTTCTAAGGAAGATGGTGGTGGATGGTGGTACAACAGATGCCACTCAGCTAACCCAAATGGCAGATACTATTGGGGTGGCCATTACAGCTGGGATATGGCAAAACATGGCACAGATGATGGAGTAGTGTGGATGAATTGGAAGGGGTCATGGTATTCATTGAAGGCGATGTCTATGAAGATCAGACCATTCTTTCCACAATAGTAGTCCCAAAAACTAACAGATTTTTAAAAATCTTCCCACATGGGACAATTTTATATGTTTTTAATAGAATGTTCCTTTTCATATTGGAAGCAAATCTCCCAAAGGTTATAGGTATAACATAAATTAGAAAGGCTATTCAGGGTAAAAGCCATTAAATACTGTATAACTCTATAATTTTGATTTGTTTTTTTTTTGTCAAGAAGCTACTCAAAGGAAAATTAGAGAAACAGAGTCATTTATAAATTTCAACTCTACCTGGTCATGAAAAACATTAAAATAGGTGGAAGAATGTTATATAGTTGTGAAAAATCTACAAGGCAAACTAAAAGCTGATGTTTAAAATTCCACTTCATCAACCATATTTATTTATGCGAAGTTCTGTGAGAAAGTTTTCCAAAGAAGTGTTCATTAAACACCTTACACTGCGATAAGTAAATGTGTTCTTATTTCTTAGCACATAGAATCATGGATTTAGAGCTAGAAATGATCTCAGAAGTCATCTGGCCCAACACTCTCATTTTGCAGATGAGTAAACTGAGGCCCATGGAAGTCACAAGCATTGGCCAAAGTCACACTAATAATCAACAGAATCACATTTCCAATCTAGGTCCTTTGAATCCAATGTGCTTATCACATTGCTGCTTCCCTGAGCTTAATGACTGAGGCTTAGTTTTTTCAAGAAAAGATACAAAACTTCAAATATGTAGGTAGTCTAAGCATTAAACATTTGAAAATCCAAAATTACTATTTTTGACTACACTGAAAACTGCCTCTTTGCCATTTGCCTTGGGGGAGAGGGGGAGTTTTAGGTCATCAGGGCAATTAGGATGAAGTTTGTCATTTTTGTACTTTCCAAAGGAGATAGTAGAGCCGGCAGTAACTTGCTGCCTAAGACACTGTAAGGCAACCCAACCTAGAATTTTTTTCTTCTCTTTACCAGCCTTACTTTCATCATTTCCCTCTTACTGCTCCCCTAGCTCTTATCCCCACTCAATCATTACCCTAGGTGTTACCTCGCTTACCTAGCACCCAGCTCTTAGCACTATTAGACTGATTTTTCTAACTCTCAATCCCACTGAAATTTATTTGCTCTATATATCCTTGGAGCCAAAGTCTGGGACACAAAAACAACTGACCAGCCACATGACCAAAAACAGTATGGCCATTGAATTAAGCACTGATTACTACTCCAGATAGTCCAGATTTACAAACCAAACACTGGCTGAACCCACACTCCAGAGTTTGGGACTTTATTAGTCACCCTTACATCATCAATAGCTGTAATCAGTGAGCCCAACTATGCTAGCTAGCACATAAAAGCAGCAGAAGCTGAAATAGAGGGATTATTATCACACATCCCTTTAAAAGATAAGAAAATTGAAGGTGAGAGAGGTTAGGTACTTTGACAGTGTCATATATCGTCAAAATAAAAACTGATGTGATCTTAATCTGCATTAAGCAAATCATCCAATCTTACTGTTTCACACCACATATAAAGAAGTGTGTTCCACATTGAATAATACATTTTAGTAAACTCGTTGACAAGCTGGACAGTATCAAAAGAAGAGTAACCAGGATAGTAAAGGGGCCTCATGATCATACTATATAAGAACTGATTGAAAGAACTGGGGATGTCTTACTAATCTGGAAAAGACTTAAGAGGAAGGGGCAGCTAGGTAGCACAGTGGATAGAGCACTGGCCCTGGAGAAAGGAGGACCTGAGTTCAAATTTGACCTCAGACATTTGACACTTACTAGCTGTATGACTCTGGGCAAGTCACTTAACCCCAATTGCCTCATACATGCACAAAAAAAGACTTAAGGGGAATATGACAGCTATCTTCCAATATTTGAAGGGTTTTCATGTAGAATAAGGAACAGATGTTCTTCTGGGTTCCAGAGGGCAGAATTAGGAACAGTGGCTGGAAGATGTAACAAGACTGAAGCTGTATATAAGTAACACTTTCAACAATTAGAAATATCCCAGGGCTTCTAGCTGCCTTAGGAGATCTTTGTCATCCCAGATCACTGAAAGTCTTTGGCTCTTCAGGGAAAGAATGGGTTTCCACTTGGTAGACATGTTGTAGAAGAGATTCATTTCAGGTATGGATTGGACTAGAAAGTATTTAGTGTCCCTTCTAATTCAAACATTTATGATTTTGTGACTTGCCCAAGTTCACACAGCTAATGAGTTTTAGACTTGGAATTTGAATCTAGCTCTCCTGTCTCTAAGTCTGGTGCTCTTTCTACTATGCCAAACTGTTACTCTTTACCTATGATATTGTAGATGCCATTAAGATTTCTAGATTCATCCATCTCAACAAAAGGTTTCCCAGCCCTTAATCCTAGCTGAGTTAGGACAACTGAATTCCATTCACCTCTTACCTTTTTGGAGGAGGAATCAATGCTCCCTGCATATAGTTACAACTTCCAGCTCAGTCTTATTTGAGTCTCAAGATAAAATACTTGAAGTCTTTTCAGCTTAATAGAATACTTTAAAAACCTTTATGCTATAAAAAGACATTGGAATAAAACTTTAGTAGAAGAGTAATATGATAATGATAATGAAAATAATAATAACAGGTTCAATCTACTTTATAACTTAGTGTAAGGCTTCAATGAGATGATGTATAGAAAGTGCTTTATAAACATGAAATATTATTTTTATTCTTAGGGCCAGATTAATACAGAAAATTTCTTCAGCATATTCTAAGATTAATTTGTAACCATTCTCTAGGACTGGTTTAACCAATTGTAGGTTAAATCACTGCACTAAATGAGTTCATGGATATGATTTGAAGGTGGGCAAGTTAGCTTTGCCCTTTTCCATAGATAGCCCCCCTAACCTCAGACTCAACTGGTAAATGCATTCTTTTGGAAAATTGAATTCCCCTAACAAATTTATCAACAGAAGTGGAATAATAATTCAAAACATGGGGTAGTCATTAACATTGTCTTCATATAAGAAAGTCATTATTTTCCTAGGAAAAATAACATGGTTATTTCCTCTGGTTCACAAGCTTTGCCAGTACCACCAACATTGCAGGTTTAATCCACAGAAGGGACAGTAAATTTCCTGGAAAGGAAAGCAGATTCTGTTCTACAGAAGCAGAGATTACTCTTAACTCTGGCCAACTGTTTCACAAAGGGATGATGTCCTTGGATATGAGGGACTGAGCAAATGAATTCAGATAACTCAGTGGGGTTAGAAAAACAGTTCCCTGAGCCTGACATCATGGTGGTCAATAAACCTCCTTATCTCCCTATTTGAAGGACAACTGATGAATGCAACAGCTTACTTAAGGTTTCATTGTAAGAGGTATTTTGTGGGTGGTTTTTTTTTTTCATTCCTTTTTCTTTGTAGTTAACTATCTGAACCTTAGTAAGGGCTAGTCTACGAACAAGATCTAAAAAATGTGGAACAAAATTGCAGAGAATTTTTAAAGGTTGCCTTATAATAGCTAACTCTTAGGTAGTGAGCACTTTTAAGTTTACACAATGCTTTGACTTATCTCATTTCATCCTCCCAACAACCCATGTGAAGTGGGAGCACCTATTTATCCGAATTTTATGGATGAGGAGCTGTCAGGTGAGGTTAGTTCATTTAATTGCTCAGCTAGTAAGTGTCTCAAGCAGGATTCAAACAGATCTTTCTACCTCAAAGATCAGTGCTCTGTTTGCTATGCCTCTTAACAAACATATATTTTATCTTAGCAAGAGTTGCCATCTAATTTTCTTGCTCTAAAATTTCCAACAATCCTACTATCTACATGCTCAAATTTCAATAATTTAGGAAATTTCCTCTTAGGTTGATGTTTAAATTACTTATAACTCATATTCTTCAAAGTAATTTGGGTGTCATCCAAGAAACACATTTGTGGAACACCCCTGCTATGCCTTTATTGCTAAAAGACCTTGTATAAACTCTATTTTTATTTGGCAAACATTGATCAATGAAACTTATCTGATTAATAGAAACAGGATTTAGACCTATGAGGTGATGTTTTTCAAGTTTTTTAAGGTCTGTGAATGTAAGATATGAAAAAAAATGATAAAAATGAGAAGGATTATCTAAAAATGGGATAGAGATTATCTAGACTTCTCACAAGGCCCAGAGAGTTCAAATGACTTTTCTAGAAACATACAGCAAGTCAACTGCTGACACAGGATTAGAATCTAGGTATCCTGATGGTCTTTTAACTATAGTGTACCACACTAGAAATACAACCAAAAACTGCCATGGAAAAACTAATAATTCAACATACAACATAAGACCTTCTAAATTATAAAATACCCTCAAATGAAGGGAGACATATAAAATGTATTGCTGAACATAGTAAGAAATAAT